TGTCAACTGTCCTATTACCCTGTCCAATTACAAGCATAACATGTCCTATTAAAGTGCAAATGGGGCTGAAGATAACCAACCATGTTTTAAAATTTTGCTATGGTTTTGAAGAACCCTCTAACTCCCAGGTGTGATCAACATGAAACTTCTCCCTATGACTGCACACATCACCCAGCAAACAGCTACCAAGAATACTCAAAGTGATCAGGTATAAGTAATTACCATTAGCTGCCCTGTGGACAACTAGACTCTTAGACTACACATCGTCGGACAAACACACTCATGAAGTTCCTGCTTGAGCTAAATATCTTGCAATCGAAAGTAAGCATTTTACATTACTGCCCAAACAGCAGTGTACGAGGTAAACTAAAATAACGAAAGCCATTAGTATAATTTTGAACGGTTATTTCGCTGAAGGTCAACTGATTAGTTGATGAACGCATCCATGGGATCAAGCAAGGAAATTAAAGCTGCCGCAGTCTTGAAAGTTTATCTATACAGTTTATCGTCGAATACATATTTTTTACGAAATGAGCTTAGCTTTCAAAATAAACATTGAAATAAACAAAGAGACATATGCTACACATAGCGATAAAAAAATATCCATACTAAACCATCAATAATTTCGCTCACGATTTTAAACAACACGAGGATTAAATTTATTCTTGTTTCAACGGAGTTAACAAATGCATGTTCAGAGTGCCACTTTTTGTACGTTTCAGGCGGAAACGAACCCTAAAACACAAAAGAAAGCTGCAAGAAAGAAATCAAGGATCAAACAGAAGATAACCTAAACTATATAAGTCCACTTATTGTACCTTTCCGTTCACGCTTTCTTGCGTCGGCACCTCAGCCACGGCAGCCGCCATAACTCAACATGTGTAAAGCAGCAAGATGAAGCATGCCGGGGGTTATCTGCCAACGCTATTTCTTTCCTTTGTTTTAATTGGTTAACCCTTCTACCAATCATTGCATTTTTAATATCTTAAAATAGTTTGAAATGTGAATATCACTCATTGGTTAGATATTTTTTACCCAATGAGATTCTTTGTACTTTTGCTGCCAGACAGAGAGTGTTTCCGGGAAAAGTATGGCGTTGGGCGAAGTTATATTTCGTGTGCCGTTTCTGGTCCTTTTAGAGTGGTTCCTTTGCGTGGATATCACACATTACAGTGACTGGACGCCTTATGCAAGATTAATGCAGCTATCGGGTGAGTTTGATCTCATTTTGATCACATTAACGTGTTTTTTAAAGGCTTTAAAGCCATGGTATAGGTGATTATATATCCAGTTTTTCTGTTACGTTTTTTGTTACGTTTTTTGTCGAATTTAGTTATTTTGAGCTTAAAGATACGCTGATCAGGCGTCCTAGACTTTCAGTCCGTTATCCATGTTTTAGAATTTTATTATAAGCTTGAACCCATTAACAGGAGTTGGTATATCAATCAGCCCTGTCTCTTTGACTGTGTGTTTACATGAGCAAGCAGTTTCGGAAGTTCCTGCTGTTCTGAGAATGAACCTTTGGCCAAAGACCTTTTTTTAATTACATTTTTTCCTTTATTGCGAAATTAAAATAATGTAGTAAATCTAAGCTCATCGCACTGATTCTAAATGCCATTCGGTGGACCAGAGAAGCAATACAAGTAAATAATTATGCTCTTTTCACTCTCTCTGGGTTATGATGTTTTCGCCCTAGTTTTCGTTATTTTTCAATGTCTTAACATATCTGAAAGGGAATGCATAATCATTTTGTCCTATATATTTAATACTTACTGTTGTGATGACTGTTTTAATTATTATAATTATAACTATTATTATTTCTTAATGGTATTTATATGGAAACAAACTATTGAAAAAATTAACCCTTTAACTCCCATGAATGACCAAGATAGAATTTCTCCTTACAATATCAATACGATATCAAACAGGCAAGTGATGAGAATAAACAAAAACATCAACATGGGGATTAGTAGTTGATCCCATACCAAATTCTCAGCACTTACACGATAAGAATTGTATGCTAGACAGTAAGGAGAATTATTCATGAGATCTTGGGAGGGGGTTAACAAGAGTACACAACATTCTGTATCAGGAGGTCTGTCTTTAACCATAACTTATATTAATGACCTGGTTCTATTGCATTTTTTGTTTTAGGAATCATTTTATGTTTGGTACTATCCCTTCTTGGCCGAGATGAACTCATTAATTTCTACAGCCACTCTCTTTTCATTACTGTGGTGACATTTATGCTGTACTTGAATGCATACAACAGCTTAAATCTGTACAATGCCTTAGAGGAACAAGGTCTCTCAAAGTTGATTACGGAAGATGGTGCAATATTTCTGCTATTAATGATAACTGGAGCTTGGATGGTCTATTTAATATCACTTGGAATGTACTCACGGGTGTATAACTCTTTGAAACCAGTTATGTTTTCAATGGCAGCGTTCCCTGTTATGTTACGGCATATGTCAGCTTCAAATCAGAAAGATGATCCACCCTTATGGCTCTGCATTTGCTTTGGTTTTGCGTTTTATTTGGCTATAACAGGCACCTATCAGTGCATTCATGATATTGTCACGCATTTTATTACATCAGCACAAATTATCCAGTGGATGTACAGAATGTATGGGTTGACTGTCACTGTTGTGTTTCACTGGCGCAGAGTGAAAGTTCCGTTCTGTATGATGACTCTATGGGGGATATTATTTTTATACAACAGTTTGAGTTTTTTGCTGTTCTCCAGTGAATCAGTAACAGTTTTGCAGCTGTTTAATTTAACAATGGCCTTAACTTGCAACTCAGTTCTCTCAATGACATCATGTTGTTTCATAATTTACAAGCTATCTGGATATATACTGAATATCATCAAACGATACCATCATGAGGATAACATTGCCCCCCCTGGTGACCCTTACAGCTCTCCTGATGGTCTTAGAGAAGGTTTCGGATTTTTCTTTCTTGGTCTTTACACTGGACTTTCAAGTTCAAAGATAAGTAGAAAGCTTGTGCTTTTGGAATTGATTTTTTATCTAATCATTTCAGCTTTAGCAAGATCAATGTTTGAAATAACTGAACCTGTTCTCTTGGGGCTTGCATCACAACCAAGCATCATCTACCGCAAACATTTACGTGTTTTGTCATTTTGCATTTCACTCCTGGGAGCGTCTATTTATCTGGCGGTAAATTTGTACTTTTTAAAAGAGAAAATTCCTTTCATTACTCCAAATGTCATTACCATTGCTCAGATAATTGCTGCACTTGTATTGTACTTCTTGTATGTGTACGAGTCACGTCAAACTCAAATATGGGAAGAACTGGATGACTATGTGTACTTCATCAATGGCTCCTGTAAAGTTTTTGAATTTGTGGTCATCTCAGCCGTTCTTTTCTACAGAGTTTGTGACTTCAGTTTAGAGTGGACACTGTTTCAAATTGTTATGGCAGTGCTGCATCTCTACTTTAATATCTGGACTCCTGCTAAGGAAGGTTGGCTAAGTTTAAAACAGCGTCATCAGGTGAATCAAAAACTGAACTCATTGCCATCAGCAACAGAGAAAGAAATTGATGAACTTGAAGATGTTTGTTCAATCTGTTTGGAGGAGTTGAAAGCTGCAAAAGTAACTCCTTGTAGACATTATTTTCACAGTTTATGCCTTCGAAAATGGTTAAATGTCCAAGACAAATGCCCCATGTGCCATACAGCTCTGCTATCACTATAAACATAGAAACTTTCTCTCTGCAACTCTTTTAAGACAAGGCACATTTTACATCAAGTCTTTGTCACATGCTATACCCAGTAGTCACTGCAACTGAAGGCCTGGCACATCAGGTAATTTGTCACTGCGACTTGTTCTAGATGTAGTTTCAATATGCACAGAGGGAATTAGGTTGCAGAAACTGGCTGGTGTGGTTTGCTGTCAGTATTTTGCAACCTTCAAGCTATTGTAACAGGGTGATTTATGACTAACATTCAAGAAATGTGCAAAATTAATGAGTTACTACTTGATCACAGGGAAAGGGACAAAAGTTATTTGATGCTGTTTTTAATCTGTACCACAGCATAACTAGGGAATAATTGTTTTTTTCTTTGTGTAATTGGTGAGCTCAAATGTGATCTTTGGGGGCTAGAAATGAGGAGACTATCAGGTATTGATTGAGTGGTGTGATTATTTAAACAAAGCTGAGTGACTGTCTTAGTTTAACAAAACTGTGTCCTAAACAATGCATTATTCAGCTGAACCTTTTATCTGAACATTTGTTTTTAATTAGTGAACAGTGTTAAGAGGGCCAAGACCTAACAGTGGAAGGACATTTGTTTCATTAAATCAACCCCCCTAACCCTTTAACTCCCAGAAGTTATTAACATGTAACTTCTCCCTATAATATCTATACACTATCCAGCCAACAGGTAATGAGAATACTCAAACTTATCAAGTAGAAGTTTTTAACTCGATCAAACACCAAATTCTTGTAACTATCCTGCAAGGAACTGTGTAACAGCCAGTGAAGAGAATAAAGAATCAGATCCTGGGAGTCAAAGGGTTAAAGTGAAAGCCAGAGGCCCACTGATTGTTTAAAACTGTGGTTTGGGTTAGACCTCATGAAAATAACTCCTTCCAAACTCAGGGTTTTTACAGCCAGGGTATATTAAAGTTTAAAATGTCCTTTGTTGGAATAGTTCCGAAGAATTACCCCATAATTGCTTAAACAATCACTGATAATGTATGTAAATATCTATTTATAACTCTTTCAGTCCTGCAAGTGACTAATGAGTGATTTCTCCTAACAATATCAATGCAACATCAACCAGAAACATGATGAGAAGGTAGAAAATTATCAGAAGGGGCATGTTATTTGATTCAACACCAAATTCTCAGAGCTACAATCATAAGACTGCATAGAAGACATATAGGGGAATTTGTGTCAAGATAGCAGGAGTGAAAGGCTTAACAAATAGATTCCATGTTGCTGTTCAGTAATAGATCAGAGTTTGTGACAAAATGTGGTAAGAATTTTAAAGTGGCACACAAGGTCGCAGCAGGTTGCGTCACTAATACTCCACCACATTTTGACATAACCTGTGATTACCATACAGATCTGCACCAACATAGAATCTCTTTGTTTTGTATAACAGATAAGCAAAATGTTGTTAATGGTGATGTTATCTTTGTGTTTGTCCTCCAACAGCTCATAAGTAATAACCGATCAAAATGCTTGCATATTTCAGCTTATCATACGATAAAATAATGCTACACTGTACTATTTGGTGTAACATGAAAAACTAACTTGTGCAGTGTTTCTTCAAGCTCCAAATACAAAGATATTCAAAATATTAGGCAAGGACTTATGGTAATAGAATTGTACATATTTATGTACAGTTTGTTGTATGTATTCCAATGAGATGCCTTTATAGTCTGAGAAAATAATTGCAAGCTGGCAATGCTAAGTAAAATTCAGTGTGTATATTCCAAGGGAAGACAAATTTAATTAAAGAGGAATAGATACATGTTGTAAGTATTCTTTAAGTAACATGATCTATTTTGTTAGCATTAATAGGATTATGAAATTTAGTTTAAAATGTTAGAAACAATAAAGCAAGTTTATTTTTTAATGCAGATTGTATGTTCTCAATGTTGTGTCCTAATATTCAAGGGATTTTATATCTTGGGTATTACTGTTTTATGTTTCACTGTCAGATTTTATCTTCATGTGTGGGAGGAACTGAGTAGGCAAGGTATGTTGCAAAGCAACACACCCTTGCAGGGGGTCTGGAGGCATACTCTCCCACAAAAATTTGGAACCCACTGAGACGTGATTCCCAGCATTCTGACACATACTTGGGTAAGTTTTTTAAAGCCAGCCATTGATGCAAGAGTAAATTTTAAAATAGTTATTTTATGTCTTTGATCCCAGTTCCCAAAGTAGCTGGTGAAAAATAGTCTGACAGATGAGCAGTTTCCACCACCTACCGACTTCAAACAACAACCCTGTGTTGCTAAATGTTGGTTTCACGCATGTTTTTATCTGCCTATTTGTTTGTAAGTCCTTCATGAAGTGTGCCAGTGGGTTTAGGTGACTCATAACTTTAAGCCTGTGACTCATTGTGAGTTTAGTTTCATTTGCAGTGAGGTGGGTTTCAAACTTATGGATCTTCCTCTTTGGCTGTTTTGGTTTTCTTTTTTTTTTTTTTTGGTAAAAGTTTCTTTCAAAATGACAATATTCACAAATGAAATTATGAACATTGTACAATAACTGGCTGATAAATACTTCCCATAGGCATTCAAGTGCTGTGTCTCCACAAAAGCACTTTTATGAGCTATATTAATGTGATCAAGCTACATTCCTAACTAAAGGCATATTCTGAGGGATAACGAAGTACGTTCCAGAAAGCAGTGGAGGTCAAACACTTCCGCCCGTGACCAATTGTGTGTACGTGATGCGGGCCTGTCCTGTTGTAGTTTTTCCAATATGGTCTCCATCTTGACTCTCAATGAAGACTGCCTTTGCAGAATTATTTCCTTTTTGGATGATCCGTCCTCCTTTCTCAGCCTCGCTCTTACCTGCAGGAGATTTAACCAGGTGGTTAACAACACTCGGAGCATTCTCCATCCAAAGGTACTACTAGCGAAAGCTGAATATTACATAAAATGCTACCTTGTGGAAATCACCGATGACAAGAGCGACTACCGCAAGTTTAGCAAGTTGGAAGATCTTCTCTCCAATGCTGTGCGTCTTACAGAAGCTAAGAAAACCCTGACTTTTGCGAAATTGGTGAATGTTTGGGAGAAAATCGGACCTGTAGTCGCTAAACTGTACACGTGGATCAGGAATCAGGAGAGTCGTACTGAAAATGGTGAACCAAGAGCGACTTGTGTTACCGAATATCAAAGTGTCACGTTGCATTTGCCAGGCTGTGACAAGGACTTAAAGATCGATACCACCTACTTTTATGACTACTACAATAATTACGACAACGAGTTGAGCATCCACATAACTTGTGGAGATATGGATGTAAAATGGGAAGGTAAGTCGGCGGGTTGTTATTGATGCATTCAAGTTTAGTTGACTGCATTGCTGATAACTGTCATTCAACTCGTTCAGTTGACTGACTTGACTGTTGACTGAGTGAATGACTGACTAATTAAGAGAGTGACTGATTGACTGACTGATTGATTGACAGAATGGTTGAGAGAGTCATGTTTTCAACAACTGAATTGATAAATAAATGTAAATTGGCCAATGTAAAGAGTTTGTAGAGCTGAAGTTTAAAGCATTATATGTAGCTCTTCGTCAGAGTAAATACAAGAGAGTGTCTGACTGGCAGACTGCTGCCTGATTGAGAGAGTGACTGACTGAGTGATTGATTACTGACAGATTGACAGAGTGACCAACTGACTTTCCAAGTGAGTGACTGACTAACTGACAGACAGACTGATTAAGTGAGTTACTGACTGAGAGGTTGAGAGAGTGACCGACTAATTAAGTGACTTATTGACTGACTGAGAGTCTAACCAGCTTTATTGACTGTCTGACTGTCTGAGAGTCTGACCAGCTTTATTGACTGACTCACTCACTCACTGAGAGTCTGACCAGCTTTATCGACTGACTGACTGACTGACTGACTGACTGAGAGGCTAACCAGCTTTATTGACTGACTGACTGAGAGTCTGACCAGCTTTATCGACTGACTGACTGACTGAGAGGCTAACCAGCATTATTGACTGACTGACTGAGAGTCTGAGCAGCTTTATTGACTGACTGACTGGTTGAGAGAGTCTGACCAGCTTTATTGACTGACTGACTGACTTACTGAGAGTCTGAGCAGCTTTATTGACTGACTGACTGGTTGAGAGAGTCTGACCAGCTTTATTGACTGACTGACTGACATACTGAGAGTCTGACTAACTTTATTGACTGACTGACTGAGTGTCTGACCAGCTTTATTGACTGACTGACTGAGAGTCTGACCAGCTTTATAGACTGACTGACTGACTGAGAGTCTGATCAACTTTATTGACTGACAGATTGACTGACAGAGAGAGTCTCACCAGCTTCATCAACTGACTGACTGACTGACAGTCTGACCAGCTTTATTGACTGACTAACTGACTATCTTTCTAACTGACTGAGAGAGTCTGATCAGCTTTATTGACTGACAGACTGGCTGACTGAGAGAGTCTGACCAGTCTGACTGATGATGAAAGAGATGATGAGAGGAAGGGGCTATGGAAGTGACTGATTAAATGAATAAGTCAGTTATTGATTCATTAACTGATCCAATAACCTCTCTTTTTTATGCCATGCCTGGTTGGGCTTAAATGGTGTGCTAAGTCATGCCAGCCAAATAGTCATGAAAATACTTGCACCAAAAAAAAAAGGTTTGGCACACATGGGTGTGGTGAATTACAGTCAAGTTGCCGATGGTTCAACCCACCAACACCAACTTGCCAATGTATAAAATTGAGTAGAGGTGTCAGTGAGTTGGTCTTCAATCCAGTACAACTTATTAGAAGTTAAAGATAAAGAAAAGTAAAAGATCTTTAGTTAAAAAAAAAAAAATTTTTTTCTTCTAACAAAGTTTATATGGATCTCATTGTGAATAAAGCAAGGTAAACATCAGCAATGACTCATGTTTCTCCCAAAATCCAAACAACTTACTTTGCCTATCAGCCCTCCTTTGGGTTCTGGTCAGCTTCTGGTTAGATACTTATCGTATTTTTATGGCCATTCACCGGCATAGCCTGGTATTAGGATGGACCAAACATAAACACCTTCAAAAGTGAGCTACCAAAGCATGAATCTATGATGATTCTTGTTTGTGAAACAATAACTCATTCACGTCTAAAGCTTTTTTGGTCATTGGCGATGTTCACCTTGCTTTATTCGCCTTGAGATCCCAATAAACTTTGTTGGAAATAAAAAGAATTTTTTCCATTAAAGATCTTATCTAGAAAGCTAAGTATTTTTAAAAAAATCTGACTGATTGACATGATAAGTCTTTAGAGTGTTGTTGTCACACAATAACTTGTTCGTGTCTAAGGCTTTTTTGGTCATTGGTGATGTTTGCCTTGATTTATTCGCCTTGAGATCCTCATAAACTTTGTTGGAAATAAAAAGAATTGTTTTTTACTAAAGATCTTGTCTAGAAAGCCAAGTTTTCTAAAAAAATCTGACCGATTGACATGATGAATCTTTATGGTGTTGTTGTTGCACAATAACTCGTTCACGTCTGAAGCTTTTACAGTCATTGGCGATGTTTACCTTGCTTTATTCACCATGAGATCCATATAAACTTTGTTGGAAGAAAAAAAATGAAAATGTTTTTTTATTAAAGATCTTTTACTTTTCTATATCTTTAACTTCTAATAAGTTGTACTGGATTGAAGACCAACTCGCCAATGTCCCTACTTGATTTTATATGTTGGCAAGTTGAGGTTGGTGAGTTAAACCGTTGGCGACTTGATTGGATACCGGTGTGGTTGACTAAGGTCCTAGGGTGTATTCAACCCCTCTTTTTCAAAGAAAAATTACAGGTTATAAACAAAAAAACAAAGCAGGCTCTAAAATGCCTGGTAAAGTTAGCTTCTACTGAATGTATGTATCAAAGTGAATTGGAATTTGTTGTGAGCAAGTTAACATATTAAATCAGATAGTGTTGTGCACTTTTTTACATCAACAGGCATGTCTTGAATGCTATGTTGACTATAGGGTCAAAATACTATTTTCAAAGCCAAAATACCATTTTGTACAGATTTCACCCACAATTGCCCAGATGATTACCAGTACTGGAAAGAAGAAGAAGTTCATGAAGCAGTTGAACCAATGAAACCAGTGGTGAAACTCCTACAGGAAGAGCTTGGTGATACAGTTCCTCCAATAACAGACATTTTCTTTATCTGGCTGTGTTATTTCTTTCCACACAAAAAGAACTTGGTAGTAGAACACAAACTCAGGTTTACAGACCCATCTAGGAATGAAAAACCCACCCCAGGCCATGCTCAGCCAGCTATAGATCTGTTTCATCAGAACTTTCAAGCTGAAACCAAGTTGAAAAGTCTAGTGTCTGGATGGAATGATACTGAGTCAGACATCTCCAGTCTGATTGCCAAAACTGTGGTTGTCTTAATTCAGAGATCAGAGACAAAATTCCTTGAAAAGCTTGAAGGGGTTGCTGAAAGCTTTTATCGGATTACCTCAGATTATGACTTAAAGTTGCTGCCTAAAAGGCTCTTGCTGGACTTGATTTTGCGAACAAAACTTGAATTCAGTAATTACAGCCCTGGTTCAATTGCAAACAAGTTTGTAGAAAGCATAGCATCATTCAGGTTTTCAGAAGGTAAAGTGGTGAAAGTTTGGGGTGGTTTTCATGGGGATGGGAGAGGAGAATCATCTTGGGATGACTTACTAGAGCTTAAAGTCACCTTACCAGATGGCAAGGAATTCAAGTTGGCAAGCTACAGACGTCACGCACCATCTATTGAAATTGAGAAGTTGAGTCCAGTTACTGAGCTATTTCAACAAGGTATTTGTAAATGTATGGAGCAAGAGAAGCACATCCCCATGTTAGATGATCGTTTTACGGCTTTTTATTTGTTGCATGTCCTGAAATTTGGTAGAGAAGATGAAGCATTCCTTGGAAAGAAGGATTTTAAGAATCTGATCAGTACAGGATCTAGTGAGGAAGAATCATCGGAGGAGAGTGAAGAAGAACAGAGTGATGAACAATAAACTTTTCACTCATGTTATAGCATAATCTAACTGACAGAAAAACATTACAATCCAACAAATTCAACTACTTTATTAAACAGCCAGTAATGTTCTTAACAAGGAGCAACTCCTAAAAGCAGCACAATACTTATTGTTAATAAACTTAATTAAGCCCACCGCAGTCTCTACCCAGGCTCACCACTGACATAATCTCACTGCTGTCTTCAAAGTTCCTTGAAATGAGCAATCTCTTGCGGTAACTCTCTCT